TGAAAAGGTGTTAGCCGATTCAAGATGGGACTTGCAGTCGGTGGGCCATTGTTAGAGGGTGCAAGTCAACACTCGCGAGACTTACAGTAGTGAGATTAAATAGAGATTATAAGTTTCAATCCGATTATTAACATTCACGTTTATTTTAATATTTATGTCGAATAACGTCGAAGTGTATACAGTCTCCGAGGTGCATCAAATCGTATAATTTGCATATAAATGAGAGAGAGGATATGAAATATATTTCTCGGTGCACGATACATCGGCTTTGTGAGGGGCGAGAAAGAATCGGCTTTATTTTTTCCTATCAGCGAGATAACAAGGCATGGACCTGGAGTGACACCTGAGGTGTCGAGGCCACGTTACGAGGGTTGCCGCGCCAGACATCAATCACCTCTTTGTATTGCTGCCTTGCGACACCTAATCCTCCGTCCCTCGTCTCCACGGTAAACCCCTACGATTCCTTTTTAACATTCCTTCTACACGGTTACGGCGATCGTACACAATCCCGAAAATTGCTCGGACTACGCGACACGAGTCATGAGCGAACGAATAGATTATAGATATAGTCATAGACTATATTATATTATCTATACAAACTTGCAATTACCGAGAACGAAGTTACTAAGAACAACACCTTTTGGTTCTACAGTGGAATGTGAAGATTGCGGCAGTAGTTTTCTTATATTATAAGCATATGTGATATGAATGTAACATACATTTACCGTCCAAATTTGACTAGCCTAAAACCGGATCTACAGTAGGTATGGTAAATTTGAGTTGTAAGAAATTGACCAATCACAGTCGATTCTTCTTCTTACATTCAACTGTGATTGGTCAATTTTTTATCGATTAAAGTTTACTATACTTATTGTGGATACCGTTTAAGTTTACACGTGATTCTCTGACATAACCTCGTAATTTGAATGCAACGCGTAACCTAATATAACACTTTTATGATGATGCAAAACAAACCTCAACCGCGATTATTCAACGTAAATAAAATACCTGGTCAGCCGAAAAGACGAAAGAAAATTACTATCGTTTTCGACGAGAAGAAACGACGGTAACTATATTTTATAGATTATTTCCGTAAATGCTATAAATTCGCGGAGCGAAATTAAACCGTATGTACGTGGATGTAGAGAATTCTTGGGAGGTTTCCGTAAGAGAAAGCTGGAACGAAAGAAGAAAGCTCAGGAGCAGTTGCAGCAACAATTGAAAGAGGAGCGAAAAAAGATTAAGCAAGAGGTGAGTAATACCATTGTACGAAGATATTAAATGCTCTTTAAGTATGGCTATAGCATACATATCTGTATATTTCTCACAGGCACGAGAACATTACAAGAAATTAGTATCGCAGCGTGATATCCCGGAACTGGAAGAGCTGTTATCTCGAAAAGAATATGATTTGGAGGGTCACACAGTCAGTATCTTAGAACTGAACGTTGCGGATCTTACAAAAGAAAATAGATGGATAGGTGAGAACAAAGTTGCAGAGGAGGAAGAAGAAGAACAAGATGAAGAAGACAAACATTCAGATAATGAAAATGACAAAATTGTTGGGATGTCATTGCGAGAAAAGTCGGAGAATTCCCAGCACGAAACTAAGTCAATTGAACGAGAGATAAAATCTTCGAAGGAAGTTAAACGGGAAATAAAGAAAGCAGCATTGAAGCATGTTAAGAAGAGCAAGGTTTTCCAACAAAAGCAGAAGATGGAGCAAATAAAAAACAGGAAGCAAAGTAGACGGAAATTGCGCAGAACCCAGAAGGTAGCATGCAAACGCAATAAACGGATAGAAAGGAGATCGGAGCGTTAGAATAAACTAATTATTTGTATAAGTCGGTTACGAATAAATATATTTTTAGAGAACATGTGTTTTTGTATGCGCATATGCACTTTTCATTTTTTTACTTTTCCACCATTTTTCTTGCCGTATGGACAGATATCTTTGTTGAAGCACTCTGAGCATTTGGGAAATCGAGGTAGACAAATTTCTTGGCCGAATCCCACGAGAAGATGATTTACCTGGCTCCATAGATGCTTAGGGAGCCAATCCTCCAGCTCATTTCTCGTTTCCTCAGGTATTTTTGTCGGTTTCCTTACCCATCCCAATCTGTTGCTGATTCTATGAACATGTGTATCTACACCAATACCAGATACCTCTCCCCATGCAATCTGCATGCATAAGTGAGCCATTTTAGAGCCTACTCCTGGTAACTCGCACAATTCCTTTATAGTTCTAGGAATATCTCCGTTATATTTATTTAGAAGAATAACTGAGGTCCTCTTTATATACTCTACCTTCCGCTGGAAATAAAAAAAAAAAAAATATATATATATATTTAGAACAACTTTATATGTTTCTCCAGATAATATATAATAGAGACAAGTAAATACTAGTTGATACCTTCCAGAAACCAACTGGATATATGAGTTTGCCCAGAACATCATCAGAGGTTTGTGCTATTAAATTTGGTTTACAACCATAAGTAATCAGACGCTGCATAGCAGCGTGCGTGACTTGATCCTTTGTCTGACTGCTCAGCATCAACGCCACTAATGACTGATACCTGGACACTGGTGGACTAGCACTGGGGTCTACACACTTGTGGCAACCCATCTCATCAACTGGCGCTGTATTATACTTCCTCATCTCTTTGACATTCTCCAAAATAGTCTCCCAATTCGGCGGTATCCATCGACTTTGTTTCTCATCTTTGACATTCTCTGAATCCATCTCATGTCCTACAGATTCGCTTTTCTCGACCATGATATCCTTTGCATCCTTGGTTTGTTTCGCTTCCTCGCATTTTATCTCACGTTCTTCGGTCTTAATAGTTCTCGCATCTGCCGATTCTTCTGCATTCTCGCTCTTTACCTGAACAGCTGATATCACCTTCGTACTTTTAACGCTCGTCTTATCTTCCGCTGTCTCATATTCGATCTTGATCGGTGCTCGTTTCTTTGTACTTGTCTTTGTTGACGTTGACTTTTTACCGGCAAAATAAGGGGATGTTTCTCCCGAAGATTCCTTGGTAGCAACCGTTTTCCCAGAACGCAAAGTTCTCGCTGCCGAAAGCGCGCCCAGTTTTAACCTCTTACTCATTCTATTAGGGTAAGATATATCATTTATAATGTTAAATGTCAAATTAATTTTGCGTCACGCACACAACTCGGACACTGAATACCGCCTGTTCGAAATTGGGTCCGTTCTTTTTGACTGTACTTGTTTCGTATTCGAATCGAGATTAGACACAAGGGGACAAAAATTAATCTGATTGTAATCTTCGATTTGTAATTAGATATGGGCCTTAGACGATTGAGTTTCTCCATTGATTGTCAAATAAAGAATTTCTGGGATCCCGAATTTTTTCTTATGCCTGTATCAGACTGCGGATTAGAATTGAGATTGAATTGAAGTTTAATCGATCAGAGCAAAGTTCACTAAATACAAGTTTAATAAATCTTGCTCTGATCGGTCAAATTTTAATTCAATCACGATCCTAATCTGTAGTCTGATATGGGCTTTAAGGAACCATAGAGATTCTCTATTCGATAGCCAATCGACACACTCGTCGGCAAACTCATCGTTGCACCACAAATGAGATGTTAGCCTAATGTCGCCACTAGTCGAATTGCCCTGTATGCCTTCCGAACATCAACATAACCTAACAGAACGATCGATACAAGTGCTGATAGCTCACAGGTTTGAAATACAATTATTAACGCGGAGGCGTGTATTATGGTTGAGTTTTTTAATAGAATAATTTGTAGAAAGGTAAATCGCCGCTCGCGAAATGCACACCTCCACCAATTTCGTTCTACGTGGCGGTGATGCGGCATTTGCCAACAGACAGAAATTATTGTTCGATCAACTGTCGATCGCCGAGAACAGATGCAACAAACATGACAGATGCGAGATAAACGACAACGAGATGCGCGTGGACGTGGACAGTTGTAACAGAGACACAACTTCGAGAGAGCATGTGAAACGGAGGAGGGAAACTAGGAGATTCAGCGGCAAGGAGAGCTTGTTCAAGCGTCCGGAGGGCCTGGCACCCCGCACGAAAGGTTTCAGAAGTGTTCCGGACCACCACAGGAATCCGCACAAGTGGATCAAGTACAGTTTAGCCGACGTGTCCAACGAGGACATGACGGAGAAGAGCAATACGCAAGCCGCCATGTCGTTTCTGAAGGAATTGAAGGCACGCAGGAAGACAGAGGCGGACGAATCCGACGAGAAGATGGACATTGAATCTTGCAACTTGAATGCGCAAGATTGTAAAGAGGCGATATTCAAACATAGGAAACGCGCGTCGACGTCGCAGATAGTATTCAGAAAACCACAGACGAAAGAGACAGAGAATTCAAAAATAGTCGTGACCGGATCGGATGATAAACCCATGTTCAGAAATAGTAAGATTATCTTGCCGGAATACGTGATCGGCCAGAAACCGAAAAAGATCCCTAGGAGGAATAAGCCCGTGGTTAAAAGCGATCGTGTGAAAGAACTCAGATTAGATCACTTGGAAGAGCCTGATGAGGAAGAACATAACTGAAGAAGGAACTGTGTAATGTATATAAGTTAACGTACACAAATATATGTAGAAATTAGCTATAAATTCATCTGATTTGTTTCAATTGAATCAGCAATTTATGGGACGCCGTCTATAATTATATAATACATCTTAGAGAAAGTACGATTGTATTGGAATCGTGAAAGAAAACTGAACGTAAAGTACATGCACGAGATGATGAAGTACCTCCTGACCTAATATTCCTCCAGTGTGAGCTGCAAGGTTGCTCCTCCGAAAGCATTAAGCGCCAAGGTCATTTATTTTTATCGACAATTTATTTGATAATATTAAAGAGTCCAAAAATGTAAAGTAGTCCAGTGTGGAATTATGCTAAAAGATGCATCTGAAATTCGGTACATTGTGGAAACTATAACCTGAGCCTGAGCTGTATCGAGAATTAATTGGGCATTGAGTATGTTCACACACAGGTGTATTATGTTGATATTGCTTTAGATTGCAAGTAACGACATGTGTACAATCCTCATATATATATATATATATATATATGCATATATATATATATATATACATGATATAATTCGAAACTATAACGACGAGACCGAGACGATGATATACAAAATTTCGCCGTTACCGTTTCAACGTTACTGTTAATATTCCGTGTCATTTATTACTTAGTCCATTTATAAATACGTTACTGTTATGTCGCTTGAATTGCCGGAGGGCAGTGACCGATGAAGGATGAGGTCATCGGTCGACGTAATTTGTTACATTCTCTAAAACACGTATTCCTTCGTATTCATTCATTACTTCCAGCTAATCGTTACTATACCGAGTATATTCGCACTACGCACACATACATACACACACATGTACACACACGCACAAACGCGCATCCATCGAAACGAAATAAAAAAATATCCCGGGGACACGTTCTCTACACGGACACGATCGATTTGAGAAGCGCCAAAAGCTTCGAACAATCTGCTTCGATGCGAAGTTCTGCTGAGACGACTGTCAGGCCGAGACGAAGGCTCACTCAGATTAAATTAAGCTATTACCATTACGTACGCGTGTGAGGAATTAGTCTCGAAACACTGGAATGATCGGTTCCTCCTTGAGGAGACCGCCGTCATCTGGCTGTATGGTGCACAATGGTGGTCAACTCTCATTGTCGAGTTGAACGAGGCAAACGAACTGCGCTCCTTTCACGTGTTACTTCGAAACGTAGCGAAATTCGAATGAATTAATTAGGCTAAATGTGTGTGCAGCAGCAAGCGCGCTCGCAGTTTTGGCAAGTCGGGATAAATATCTTCTACCGCGGTAATCATCCTAGGATCTCTCGTTTCGGAAAAAGAGAAACGTATATGGATGAAGAGGGGGAGGGGGGGGGGTGCTGGCAAATTCACCGTGCGGCGCGTCTGCTGGAATTCCGCAGCTGCTTCTCGATCTCGAACTGCCGTAAGTCCGCTCTCTGGAGGAAATCCTGCCGCTCCAGATAACCGTCCTTGCCTTTATTGTGAGTATTGAGCTCCTCCTCTATGTTCTCCTGCTTCTTGTAGTTGTCCCAGTCCAATTTGGATTTTTCTAGTGTGCTGATCTTGGCCTTCTTGCCGATTTGTCCTAGAACGGAGGAGATGCCGCCCAGCCCGACGCGCTTCGCATTACCTCTTCCCCGTCCTCGGCCTGGTCCTTTAGGATCCGCGGGAGAATCCGATTCCGACGGTTTTGTGGAATTTTCGGCCACGGAAAGAGACAATCTGGCTTCTGCAGAATCAACTGCGACTTCCTTCTCGACCTTCACCTCTTCACCGGCAAATTCGAAGATCTTGGTTATCTTGACTTTTTCCTGAACTTTCGGTTTTTCTATCGGCGGGGATCTCTCCTTTGACCTGTGGATTGTATTTTGCGGTTTCGGCTTTGATACGACAGCTGCGGAGAAATCATATGAAGGTATGTTATAAAATTCATTTGACTTATGTAATTGTGACATTGCATATTCTGTTGTAAGTATATCCGATAACCGTGCAGGCTTGTACCTGTATCTTTCATAAAGTCAGCCCACAGTGAGTCCGCTCTCTTTTTCTCTTCTTCTTCGGTAAGTTCTTTCTTCTCATTGCACTCCTCCTTTCCTCCGTTTTCTTCTTCCGATATCTTTGACTTGTTATCTAAAGTTTTCTTGCGCTTGGAACTTTTACCTTTTCGTTTTGCAGATCTTCTTGTACCTTTTCTTCGTCCAGTATCTCTCTTATTCTCGTCATTCTCATCTTCTGGACCACTTTCAACGTCACCTTCAGATTCTACTTCAGAAACTGGATCACTGTCAGCACCGTCAGGAACATAATCTTCATCATCATCATCCGAATCAGAAGGTAATTGATGCTCTTCAGACATGTTTAAATGCTAATTGATATAAAAAATACCTAAAAATATATGATATAATAATATATCACGTATGTATTATAAAAATATATATTTGTTGTTACTTAACTTATATTGTTCCTTAGTGTTATACATATTTTTAAAAATTATTTTAATTGCATATTTTGCAATTTATAAATGCAATCATGTATAATTTTTTTTTCCTGTATTATACATATTTATCGTTTTTATAATTGATACTCAATTAAACAATTACAAAAACAAATCTTACAGAAATTATTTACAATCAATATCATATGCTTATATTCACGATTAACGTCAACAATAACGTTTCTTTGCACGAAGATATTCAAACAATAAACAGGAAAGGCGGCTTTAAAAAAATTGCCCGGTAAATTAAAAATTCTACCAAATCATGCATTTTTTTTTGTCCTGTCAATATTACGAAACCTAACCTATCTGATTAGCGAATTTCATCGGTTTTCGGCGGTATTAAATGTGACTTTTTAAGTGATTTCGTTGCTTACCCTCTTTGAAACGGCGAGTCGTCGGTATCAAATATTCCACGAGCAGACGCCGATTTGCGTTCCGGAAATGTCGTTACATCGAGAGACGCTGCGGCGGATCTAGCATTCGTCGTCGCGCACATGAATCATCGGCGGGGGCCTGAATCGATCTGGCGTGCGCGAGGGGAATACGGGTTATCCCAAAAATCCGTGAACCGCCTGGGAAAGAGAAGCCACGGTATCTCGCGGAGCGTTACGACTCCGTTTGACTCGCAAATGCGCCTGGCACGCATCACGGTGATACACGACCGCGCATCGGGCGCCATCTTCCATGAATCAGCGAGCTGCGATGTGAAGTTGCTGTTACATCACCAGGTGCAAATTGCTTCTACATTTTGCACATTTATGTTTTAATTCTTGCAATTATCTTATATATATATATTTACTTTATTTTTGTTGCGCACACATGAATATTTATGGGAAGAAAAGGTGAGGAAAATTCATTAACTATATGGTTACGTGTGTCCCAGTGAGTCCACCAGTCTCTAATAATATCTTTTCTATGAAATCAGATAAATATAATGGCTACGTTTGGCAGAGAAAGAAGCTCCGTGAGCGCGTAATGATTATCATTTGTGACTGGAGTGTTCTTTTAGATTCCTGATGGATTCAGAGGGATATATTAATCAGGAGTGATAATCATTAAGCGTTCATTGGGCTGTTTTCTTTGCTGAACGCAGCCAATAAGAAACGTTCTTGTGGACGTTTCTAGACGTTGCACGTCTAGAACATGCGTGTTTCATGCTACTTGGCGAACCACAGGTCGGAAGTCAGAAACGTCGGAGCTCCCTGCTGCTAGATGACCCGTCCAACTAGGACTCGGAGAGTCGATATTACCGACCATTCTCATGTATCCGATATAAATATCTGAAAGAATTCTGAATTTACTTATCATACTTTTCCAATTTTTGATTTATTATATCAGATATTTCTGTGTTGTTAGCTAGATATATACGAAGTTATATTTGACGTTCTTTCAGTTTACACCTAAGTTTGACTCTAACCTTACAATAAATCTTTACTACGTTCTTGTTTCTTCGAATAAATCCTGAGCGCATTTCTAACTCTAAATGCAATTATTAATCAACTCAATTCGTCAGATTACGATACGTCGTATCATCTCTCTCATGCTATCAAGAAGACATTGAAATTATAATTAACAGGCATCAAAGTTAAGAAGAAATGTAATTTCCTTTGATATTATACACGTACTTCGGAGATTATCGACTTTATCTTGTATATATATTCATCAATAAAATCCGTTTAACTCTCCATTAGTCGCAATATACGATTGATATATCCTAATACTCCTCATTTTGTTTTTCACTGCTTTTTATGTACTTTAATGTCCGGTCCATCAGCCAAGTTCTGATGAGAGGGAAGCTATTTCAAGAAGCGGAAGAAAATAATGAGAAAATTAGTAAAAGTGTGAGATATATCGCGATTATTCGTTGGTGAAAAATATTGCGACCAACGGAGGGTTAAAAAAAACATCTTTCGCTCGATCTAGATCGGTATAAGGCACACCGCTGGCTACTTACAGCTCGCTACAAGCTTACAATGCAGTTTTTCATTTAATCAGCATGCAGTGCGAGACGCGCACGTGGTCGGGAAAAAATTAGTGGGTGTCGAGTTGCCGGATCTTTCACAGATTTGTCGAGGAGCAATAACTTAGCGCCTTCTTCAGGGTACTAAGTAGGACCAGCGGGGGTCGCCGCAAACCTCATATTACAGGATCCATTTCGAATCCTAATTTCGACGAAACGTACGACTGCCGGTCGACAGGGATTATCTCGATGGATTAATAGATCTGTCGACTCTTTCTTCCCTTCGTGAGCGAGTGGAAGCCCGAATGGATGAGGTTAGAGGGGAACATGTGCGCATACGCGGCTAATGTGTCGGGGGTTAGTTGCAGGAAGAAGAATGGTTTAAGAGTCACGAGACACACCGAGAACAACCGTGCTAACAATACGTGTGTTATTATATGCGCGAAGTTGTTTGTTATGCGACGAACGGAGTTCTCTAATCCGAGAAACAGAAGCAAGCCGAAGTGAAAACGCGCGTCGCTTGAATGAGGGATTACACGATTGAGGTAAGCCGGCGTTCCTCCCGAAGAGGACCTACGATTTCGCAATAGATGAACAACGGTCTCCCGATAATGCACAGAATTAGACTGCTGTAGTTAGCGTTTAATTGCGGCGAGCCTCTTCGAGCTTTCTCGTCGAAGAGCGAAACGAAACGGAAGGATGTACCAGGTGGCCACGAATGCCGCAGCATCCGCGCGATTGGAGAGCGGTATCACGGAAAACGAGACGAAGCGAATGAGGCTGAAGCTTGGATGTTTGAAGGCTCCGCCTGGTTTTCGGGACGTCCCAAATCTCAAACCCCTCCAACCAATGTTTCTCATCTCCCGTTTGACTGTGCGTCTCTCTCTTTCTCTCTCTCTCTCTTTCTCTCCCTCTCTCTCTCTTTCTCACCATCACTCTCACTCTCTTACTCTCTCCCTCTGTTCGGTCACGTTCCTCCACTTGGACTCCTCACTTCGACTTCAAAAACTTGGACCACCAATTAGTTTAGCGCCGGAGACGCGGCCTCTCGTGACGTCCCGCCGATAGATATTCGCAAAAAGGAGCCATCGATCACGATCAGCAGGTATATCGGGCGAATTGCACCGTTCGTTGAGCAGCCAGAACACGTAGAGACGTACGCGAGTGACACAGAGACGGTGATGCATGAGCTGATTGCGTAGCCATCTTTCGAAAATAGTCTTTACATCGCTCCGCTCCGAAAAGCAATCGCACATAATTTTGCTCCTCGAATTCGCGAACCTTCGCGAATCGAGTGTGGTTTTTCAGGAACAAGGGATCGGATACAGCGTGGTCCTGTGTCCCTCGGCCGTTCGTCTCTCCGGAACTTGTCATGTGCCTTCTTTTCTCTTACCTATATTTCCGGATTTTTTATTTCGGATGTGTCACACAAATGTGTGCGATGTCACCCTTTCTCTCTTTCTCTCTTTCTCTTTCTTCGTGATTGTGTATCAAAAAGATCGAATAGAAAGTGCCACGTACGAAAATCTTGTGCGAATTTGAATATCAACTGAAACTGCTGACTCCGTAAACGTACGTTTCCACTTCAGGCTACGTTTTAAAGAGACGTTTTCTAACGGTTATCTCTTCGCTTTGGAAAAAAAAAAATACGATGTTAAACACAGATTTCATTTTTCATCATGATATTTTCACGTTCAAGATAGTGAAGTCAAGACGTAAAGTTCAGATAAATAAAGGTCAGACTTGTCAGACAGATCATCTAATATTAAATGCGATTGAAATACTAATCTCTGTTTCCGTGTGTTCACATAATATTAGTTTAACTTTGCATATTCGCCGTTCCTCATTTTTTAATAACTAATTTTTTAATCATATATTTTTTAATAATAACTATTTTTTTATTAATATTCGTTACTCGATGTATTCGCGGAGTTTTCCACATTAACGTGAAATAATTTAAGAGGAAAACGTAAAAGACACGTGTATATATATATAAGCCATCATTTTTATCCTTTACCGGAAAAATTTCTAACCTAGATTAAGCTAACAGCACAGAAAAAGACAGAGATAGAGTATCGCATTATATGTAAGTATAATATATGTAAATATATGACAATATCCGTCGCTCGAATAATTATCCATGAAATGCGTAAATTGATATTATTGATATCGCACGAATGTTACGGCAGAGCTGCGATCTTATTTTATAACTTTTAACACACGCGTAACAAATTTTTGCGCAGACAAAATGTATCTGACAAAGTAGCTGCGCAACGATACGTTAACGATGACAAAATTTTCATTACAAGTTATAGAATAAGGGGACTGAGCGATTAATTCAAACGAACATCGACCGGGATAAAAATTCGAGACAATTTAGCGCCGAGCGAAAATTTGACGGCACTTGCCGACGTTGTCCGGGAGAAACTTTGATTTGCGCACGTATGAGTCTCTCCGAGTTTCAATGTTCATAAAATAAAAATGAATAAAAATGAAAAAAAAAAATTTGCCCAGTCTGCGTGGCAGGATGCCCCGAAAGAGGCGCGCGTCGACCTCGTCGCTGGAGGAATACCCCTCGGAAGAGAAGTACTCGAAGGATGACATGGACAGTCGGGCGCCGCGAAACGCGGCCAACGCCCGCGAACGAGCCAGAATGCGTGTCCTTAGCAAGGCATTTTGTCGTTTAAAAACCACTTTGCCGTGGGTTCCGGCCGACACCAAACTGAGCAAACTCGACACCCTGAGGCTCGCCGCGACTTACATCGCTCATCTGCGAGCGGTGCTCAGGGACGACGGTGAGGCCCATCCTGAGACCACCAAGTCCTTGTCGTTGACCTTGGTGAGTATCTGCGTCTATTATTACGAAACTAGGACCTGACGGAAATTTGACCGACATCACCTCCACTCCCAATCCCGCTTCCGAAGAATAACAGCGAGATCGATCGAGTCACGGCTAACTTTGAGTTTAACGTTCGTTAATATTCGTTAATGAAACCGACTAATCCTTAGACGATATCTCGACGATAACGATGAGAATCTAATTTACGACGGCGATCGGTTTGAGACGGACAGATTTAACGAAGATCAACGCTGAGGAATATAATTTCACGACGGTGAGCTGCCGCCGGCTCTACTTCGGACTTCGCCAAAGATTCGAATTATCCCCCCGAGCTATATTTCGCGCTATCGCAATATCGGATTGTTGACTCGATGACGATTCCATAAAGGCGTAAAACAACACCGGATCCAGGTGGATCCACTCGGAATCGCGCGAGGCGAGTGCCGTCTTCGCAGTCATCCACTCTCTGTTTATGTCTGTCCAGGTGGATCGAATCACCCGGAAACCTTCCACCCACCCCTTGCCACCATTAATTCTAAGTTAGTTCCGTTGTTTGAAGAAGAAGAAGGAGAAGAAGAAGAAGAAGAAAAGAAAAAGGAAGGGCGGGGTACCGTTTTCCTCCGCGAAATAGTCTCGCCTTCCCTCGTCTCTCCCAGCTCTCGTGGAGATCAAAGAACGACTTGAACTTCGGTGGCTAAATTTCCGCGCTAAATTCCAACGAACGTCACACGACGCGTGTTGATAACAAGCAACTGATATTTCGCGGGCGACGATATCGCAAATCATCGGACACGCGATTCTCTTAATCATTAATTCACGCGGCATCCAAGCTACTTCTAGTATCCGACAAATAATTCAGCGCAAACCTCGATTGCCTCTAATAATACTCAAGAGCAGCACCGTATCGATCTAGCCGATTACGGCCGGCGAAATGCATACCGTGCGTGCATATGCGAGTGCCGAAATAATAACGATAACACCGTGTCAATTGCAGTCGTGGCCATTCGCTATACAAAACAGCAACGCCGCCACGCTGATCAACAACAGTTGCAACGTCTCCTCCTCGACTTCCTCGGGCTGTAATCAGTATCGAGGACAGCAGGCGACTCACGATATACAAAACTTCCATCATTCGGGGGGGCATCAGGGCGCGCCGACGCGCCACAATCAGGAGCAACAGCTCTCTTATTTCTAACGGCGGACAAGTGAAAAAAAAGAAGAAACCTCCTGACGAACCGATCGAAACTCGAGCGACCAGAACAACTAGAGCGATATCTACGGAGAGAACGACCACCAACAGCCGCCAAGTTACACTACCACCGACGACCGGGACCTGTCGTTCCCACGCCTTATTTATTCCGGAGAGTGCCTTATTCCTATACTATTTATTGACCTGTAATCTTAACGCGCTATCATAACGTTTCTACACACGTATGCGACGAGGAAACGAAGAGACATGATATATTTATATTAATAATATACAATTTTAATGCATATACATGTATGGATGCTTGCGTCTCGGCTCACGCCCTTTGCGCTTTTACATATAATGTCGTTACGTAATAAGAAGTGCAATCCCCGTATGCATATGTTCTAGTGAGATAAACCCTAAGTAAGCAAAACGGACGGAAGTATCAATTTTCTCCCGTTTAACAGAAGGAAAAAGGAAATCGCACCAAGTCGAAGTATACAGCATATAAAAATTCTTGACTTGCTGAGTACTCGGATTATTGCAATATCACGTAATATTGTAATCGTAATTAATACCAAAGTATGTCAACTAGTCGAATAAAGATGTTTCTAAGATTTCTCAAATTTCTCTTCACGTGTGAATTAATTCGACGCGCATTCGCAGGGTTGATTTAAGGGCGCAATTAAGGTACTTTATATTGTATGTATACTCGCGTATTGTGCGTGATTTGTCGATGAACATCTCTCAACTGACTTGTCTCTCTGAAGCGTCGGGGATGGCATCCGGAACAGCGGAGAGGAAGCGTGAAGGTAAGGTAAGAAGGATAAAGAAGTTCAAGTTAAACAAACAGTGCGAAGGGCCTTTTGTGTGAACCCGATACTAAAATAATATATCCCGTCCCGGCGACAAATCGGCCGACGCCGAGCGTATCGTCGAGCTATGTCTCAACATACACGGAGAGAATTTACAGACGAAAGATGACGCGTCCTCTCTTTCTCTCTCTCTCTCTCTCTCTCGCTCTCGCGTTTCCCGACCGTTTCTCTTTTACGAATTTCTATCGCACTATTTTCGGGCACCATATGTCAGAGATATACAGACACGTAAAAACCGTTGCTCGCAACAATCAAACTTGATCATATCGCCGTTTACTGCTCTCTATATTTTACATCTGTTATCATCTAATATTAGCTATCTCTATTCTTTTTTTATCACAATGATGCATTTTGCAATATCAGTCGGGCCTTCGCTTTTTTATTGTAAGTATGTTTGTCCATTGAAATTTATTTATGTTGCAATTTCATTTCCTATTATACTTTATATATATATATATATATAAGTGCCAATTTATGAGACGCTCGTTACAACGTGGTCATGTAATTTTAATTTGTTAAGGAAAATAAGTTGAATTTTACTTGACTTCTAATGTCGCACAATGCGAATTATTAATTTGGATATCCAAATGTTTTGTGTATAGTGTATTGAGTATTGTGTGTTTCGAAGAAAAAACGTTTCTTCCCAATTTTCCGCGGATATTTTTGGTTTCTTTTTTACGGAAAAAATAAATGGTTTTAACCGAACACACATAAATTTTTCTAAAACGAATTTTAATACCCTTGAGACGGAAACCAAAAAAATCCATGGAAAATCCGAAAAAAATGATTAATTTCGAAATTTTAAGTTTTGTATTATTATATTGAAAATTTTTTTCTGTACAATCTCTTAACCAATCTTTTAACTACGTATAATATTTTCGGAGCGACAATTCTCAAAGAGAAACTATGCGAGGCTAACGCTGTAATGTTCGAAATTCTGCTATATCCTTTTCATGCATTTTTCACTATGCAATAACTTTTATCAGATGACCTATTTTAATGCTAAAATCGGACGTCGAACGTCAGCATGAAAAAGTGCTTTTAATCATTTAGTTTACCCTCGAGAACATTGGCCAGAATTTGTTTCAATAACAATATTAAAATGAACAGACAAGAGGACCAGATACATCATATCAGACCACATGATTGACTCAAAAATGCAATCAGTCCTATATTCCGTAACTTTTAACGACGGTGTTATTATCGTTACGTCGTTGCGCAACTTTTCCGTTATATATTATACCTGCACAACTCATCGCAACGATAGCGTTACTGTCGTTACATTGGCCTTGCGCAGGTAGAACATATGGTAGAAAAACTGCGCATCGACAACGTAATGATACTCAGAACAGAAAGTGACGATGACGTTAAAATGATGAGAAAATAATTGAAGAATGAGTTTTCATAATCATTTTCCTGTCATTTTTGCGTTATTTTGATGTCATCGTCTTTTTCGGTTCTACCTGGGTAACGAAACTGTCGTTAAAAATTACGGAATAGTCTTATAGTACAGAGTAGGGCTTCAATAGTTTTGAAGCTTCGAAGGAAATTCGAACCTCCGAATTTTGGTAAGGTGAAGCTTCGAAGATTCGTTTTCAAAAGTCAAGTTTTCGAAATTTCGGGGCTCCAGAGAGTACAATCTTACGAATTTCTCTGCAGACTAATGTCTACATATATTTTACTCAGGAAATATTAAGAATACTGAAAAATGTTGTAAGTGAACTCTTATAAAAGAATAAATGCACCAGACAGTACACGGTTTAAAAATCTTACAAACCCGATATTTCGGAGCTTCGAAATTACCGAAATTCGAGTAATGCACCGCCGAAGCTTCGAGGACTTCGGAGATTCGGATGTCGAAGCCTTCGAAAGAAAACGCTTAGATTTGACACGAAATATATACTTTCCACTTGGAGACGCGAGCATCGTCCTACCTTCGTCATTTGTTGAACACGAGACAAAGACGAAACGATGCTCGTGTCGACTTGTGTGTCGCTAAATCGGAAGCAGCTCGGCGAAGTTCCGGTGAGATCCCGAAAAATCGCTCGGGAGGATTTCGCGAGGATCGGCGCGAACTGTGCGCGCACTTTCGAAGGCGAGCGAGCGCGCACGCGCCCGTCGCCCCCCGCGAAGTCTCGGCAACTTTGCACGCGCGGAACGGCAACCTACGTAGCCAACGGACCCAGCGCAGCGACCCAGTAGGGTGCCGGCCCTGAAGAGGTATCGATCGCTCTTACTCTGTGTCGTTTCATTCATGTTACGGTGCGCGACTTCACGATGTAGCGCCAGGATATCGGGACCGCACGGCTGATTAGATCGCCCGCGACATACCCCCGTTCTCGCCCCGTACGCGTCCGCCGATCGAACGCGCGCGACGTCAAACACCCGCGTCGTTTTCTCGGAGTGATATCCCGTTCATTTTTCTTCTCTCCCTTCTCCCTCTCTCTTTTTTTCGGCCACAGTTCTCGCAACATTATCCCTCTCTCTCTCTCTCTCTCTCCCGGGACGAGGAACGTGGAGCCCTCGCGGGAGCGGGCATCGAAGCGCGCGCGGCAACAACAGCGCCAAGATGGCATTTGCCACGAGCACAGCTGTTGTTTACCCACAAACCCGTGTGCTGGTGGGCCACTGGCGGCAGCAGCAGCAACAACTCGCGGTAACGGGTCACTGAGGGAGAACGCGAGTCGTGCGGCGCGACGCAGCCTCCTCGTCGGGATGATGGAAGATGCTCGCGAGTGAGCGGGTTGGACTAGCGAACGCTCGCTACGCGAAAGTGACGTGACGGTGGCGACGGCGGCGAGGAGGACGGTGGTCGTCGTGGTGCTTCGAGGCGAGAGCGTACGCGCGAGAGAGCACTCGATGGAAGAGGTTAGCGAGGCTCGCGACGGCGGAAGTCACAGCAGCGGGCACGAATCGCGCGCGAGAAACTAACCGAGTCGCGTTCGCCATCGCTCCGAGGATCCAGGACGACGGCGAAGACGGCGGGACGGCGAGGGGTCGAGAGCCGAGAGGAGTCGATATCGAAGGAGGAAGTGTCCAAGTTAGTTCGCGATCGGTTCGCTCCTTTTTTCCCCCCTCGAGACGTGACCCAACGTTGCCCCGTTGTTACGTAAAGCTGCCAGCACGTGCACGATGTTTCTCGTTGGGGAAACCTTCCACGGGATATAACCTTGGTAACGAACGAGCTCACGGAGATACAGCTTCTGATTCGCCGAGGGCCGTGAGATCGCAACAACCGCCGCTGTTGTGCCGTTGTGACGACGAGAGCGACGAGTTTCTCAGTGTTTGCGAGGAAAACTTTGCAATGTTTACAAAACGTTGACGAGCACGGCGGTTTCTAAACAAACACACTTCCGAGTACCTCCGTATGCAATTGGGTGTTTTTTTTTTAGTGAAATTCCAAAATTATGGCACTCGTTGACACGACGATCGTCGCAGCTGCAATTCGTTAGATTTCTAACGCGTTCGAGATTTATAATCAGGTTAGGTCGCTCACGCTCGGAGGAAAAAGCGCAGCCGTGCTTTTGAGGTTAGGATGAGTCGACGAATGCTTTCTCGATAGCGCGAGGAAAGACTTACTCACGCGTCTTTTATGTTTTTTTCTCTTTGTCCCGTTCCCGCGCTTTGTCCCTTTGTGGCTTTGTCGTGCACGTGCCAACATGTCGCGTCGAGCGACACTATTGTCTCACGTCAGTGTCTGTGTGCATCCTCCTGTGACACCAATCCCTCACTTTGTATCGCTGTGGCCTGTCGTATAATCGTTTCGCGATTCTTATTGTTCTTATTACGGTATTTCTCCAGATTACTTCATCGTATGAATAAGTGAGTCATAAGACATTTAATAACGCAGTGTAGAGATCTGGTGCCGCTTCTTTTCTGCAAAGAACAGCAGTGGCGCATGAATCTTTCTGTCAGATATCGAGGAAAATTTCTGCTGAAGTTAGAGCGAGGCAAGATACACTTGTCTCGCTCTAACTTATTGCAACAGTTCAGCGGCGCAGCTACAAAGAACAGACCAAATGGATTCTCTTCTTGACGAATATCGTGAGGTTGTAGGTACAACGTTGTGTTTGTGATTAACAGGTGTCACCATGAATGCCAGGACACAGCTATTCGAATTGAGCATGGAGGGACGTCAGGTGGACGAAGCGGTGGCCAGTATATTCCACAGCGTTCTCTTTCACCGGAGCTTCGGGAAATTCAAGTACAAACAGGAGGGCAGCTATTCAGTGGGCACTGTGGGATACCAGGACGTGGACTGTGACTTCATCGACTTCACTTACGTCTGCTGCTCGTCGGTGCACCTTGACCAGACGTTGAAGCGCGAGATCTCAGGCTTCTCGGAGGCCCTGCGTTCCACCGACAGTCCGGGCTCCGGCCAGATCTCCTTGGAATTCTTCCAACGCAAGAAGAACCGCTGGCCGTTTCAGCCGGAATGCATACCGTGGGAGGTATGGACGGTGCGTCTCGAGCTGATCAAACTGGCGACCGAGCACGAGCGGCAGATATGCCGGGAGAAGGTCGGCGACCTGCTGACCGACAAGATCCTCTATATCACCGAGGTGATGAATCGGCACGACTACATACCGAAAGTGCCGAGCCAGGCGGAGCTGGACCTGATCTTCGACACCTCCTACCCGGACATACAGCCGTATCTCTTCAAGCTGTCCTTCACGACCTCCGGCCCGTCGAGCACCACGATGGGCAACACGATGAAGAAGTTGATACGAGAGACGCTGTCCATTTAGTCGTAACGCATAGTCGTTTGGATTTCGACACGTTGGCACGTTCGTAGCTTAGAAGTTGTCTGGAAAACGCAGGACTCGTTCTCACCTTTCTTGCTGCGACCTGCGCGAGATCGCCCTTTCCTTTTCTCGTTCTCTCTACGTTACACCATCCGCGCGAGATTGATTCTCTCGTTCACAGACGATCGTAAATATATTCCTCACGATTTTTAGCCGTCTTAGATTTTAGTAGGTCACTTCTTGGCTCTCCGAGTTGATCCGCGGAATTTTGCAAGTCCGCGCCACGAAGGAAATAGAGTGCGAGTCCCGCGGATTTCAATGTTCATCCGCTCCTAACAAACATTCGTCAGAAATTCTCGGCCCACTTCGTTCGTTCCTTTTGTATCAGCGGACTCTGTTGAACTCTTTGGTAGCGTGTATGTTCTCGATAACGATGACGATAGTTGTATCCCACGACATGACGCGGAAACAATACTTCTTGCCGAAATTACGTGGAACAAATGGGGGATAAGAGTCAAATTGCAGGCCCGGTTTGCATATATTTGCAAGAAATTCTACAAGTAGGCGACCTTTGTGCATCGAATTATCCTCAATATGTCGCGTAATAACTGTGACTATTAATGATGCTACATTATCGGGCCGATTCTTCATAGCTATAACAGCCGTCTCAGTTCGTTCCTCCAAGACTCCGGGCGTTCGGTTGCCTACCGGATCCGCGAATTCCTTCGCCGGCCCAATGTCTCTCGCAGTCTGTTCTCCTTCGTTTCTTCAGGATCTCCGTCAAAGGAAAGATCCACCATCACGTTCCACTTGGTTTCTCGCGGAATGGAACCTCTCAGACACAAGATCTCCTGGGCGAGCAGCCACCACATCAGACCGACATTGTGCAGACTTTTGGTGTCGCAGGGGATAGCAATGTCTGTGAACTCATCGGTGATTGGTGAATGCAGCAGGAGTGAAAAACGACGAATAGAAGAAGTGAACCCTTTGGCCCTTATGCTGGCATCTTGTTACAAAGATTTCACTGAGATGTTTAACCATGATAGCATAAGCTGCCAGTAATAGCTTTTCTCACGTATGGCGAAAGCTGATGGCGTTAACGCCTGCATCATCACTTCTTTTTTTTTTTTGTAGACCTATCGTTCTAACTGAAAATTTACATTTCCGGCATCCAGATGGGGGTGCCAACATCTTGGTAACATCGTCCCCTTTCAGAGCTAACGCATCTAAACCTCCCAACATCGGGACGCTTTGATTGAATTACGAGTCAATGTTGTCAGATGCTACCAAAAGACTCCCAACTGATAACTAATAAGTTAGCTACTAGTAAGGTTTATCGTGATATCCGTGCAAACTCGAATCTGCGATTTGGCTCTTTTTAAATACCGGCCATTTGGCTCATGTAATTTTGATTTTCGTCAAGGAGTCTTGCAATCATTCGATCGAAATACTTCGTACATTGCAGGGACTTCCGCCCCCGCTGCGTATCTCTAATTCCTCATAGTACAAATCCATACAACACGCTCTCGATGCACCTCCGCTTCCTTCGTATCTTACTGTGAACGTCCGTCGCGTAATTATTTTAGCAGGATCACCGGTAGGCACACGTGTTTTACACGAGGATCTTTCACGTTATACCTCTTGATTTCACTTAAACTCTCCCACAGGCGTCAAATCCCCGTGGCGGAGCGACATTATGTTCCTCTCACTTCTCACTTATATCCTTCCTCGAACATAGTGTAAATACGGGTAGAATAAATTCGAGCGTAAACCTCTCTCTCCTCCATTTTTATCCTCGCGCGTCGCCTGGCATGCGATCATTTCGATTACGGTTAAGCATAAGGATTCGCGCGAAGACATACCGAGATTTCGAGTTTCCAGCCGAAGAGCAGGATGTTTTTAACGGGTCCTTTAGCGTCCGGTAGAAGCCTCGAGAGGGACGCGTCTTTCTTTCTCTCGAGGGATACTCGATACTTATCCTTCGATTAAACGACGACCGTATTGCAGCGTTGCACACTCTGTTTTTCAATCGCTAATGTTGAAAGTATATGCATATATATATATATATGTATATATATACATACGTGGATATATATACATATCCCAAAAACCGACGATCACACAAGATGCTTGGATTGCGCGTACGTGTACGTACACACACACGCATACTTGCATACATGTACGACGTGCGTCAGTGCGCGGACGCACGTCCCTGTTATTTTCGCCGCAGATTTAACGCGAGATCTAACGCCGAATTACCCGAGCCCATGCCTAATTTAATAAAACAATAACGGGAGAAAGGAAAGGAGGATATCCTTGTCAAATCGTGAGACGAGCAGCGGGCCGGAACGGCGTTCAGCCCTAAATGTGCGGCGAGAGGATACGCTGGACTGCTGTGACCAGTGTGTCAATCACGCATCACAGTGTATGCGCATTATTTATTTGAACGAGTAACGATGATACGTAACGTAACGTCAGACGCGTTATATGCGCAGGCTAGTGGACATAATTTCCTTTCGTGCCGCTTTCGTTGCTCCTAAGTTACATCGATCGTTGCGAAATGCGAAGCGTAAAGCGCGACGAGACACCCGCCCGTGGGCGATACTACCGAAAGGCACGCGGGGAGAGAGTTGGAAGGAATTCGAGTGAAGGAGAGTCGGGTGGAAGACGCGAAAAAAAGCGCGCAGAGAAAAGTCGCAGTCATTTTTCCGGACGTTTCGTGCCTTCGTATCTCGTATAAATTTTCATAGATATATTAACGCGCTAGTAAGAAGTGTACTAACATACCTAAAGCCAGTCGCGTGGTGAATATCATTTTTATTTATTGAACCTCGAAGCATCTCTCATCGTGTGTGAAACGAACATGTTAAATAGCGTATTTCTCTTCCGCGCGGAAGACGGTGAGAATCTGTGATTCTTCTCGGACGAGACGGTTTTGTTCTGTTCTCCGCGAAGTGCGAACGACACCTACGGTGTGTGTACATGCGTTTGTAAACGTCGTGCCGTTTTAAGATTTTACCGAATTGACGGGGGGGAGGGGGGAGGAGGGCGCGGACGTCGGGACGCGCCGGACGGCGATCTTCGCGCGCGCGCGATTATATAATATTATTGTACAATGTAAATATAGTGTGTCCGAGAAAAATTATACCACAAAGCAGAGCCGTGTCGTCGTCGTCGTGTGTGTATGAGAGTGAGATGAGAGGGTCGCCGCGCGCGCGCGTCCCGAGATCCGCGTCGTCGGCCTTTCCTATGACCAATCGACGAAAATAAAGAAAAAGGAAAAAAAAGAAACAAGAAGATATCACGGCGCGTTAACTAGCGATGTACCTTCACGAGCTAACCGTAGACGAGAAGTGTAATATTAATTTAACGATACAAACGTACATCGTGTCCCGTGTTGTTTCCTTCTTGCGGTGTTTTTCGAGAATAATTCATAGCGTTAATTGCAATCTTAGTTAAGTTATCCTCAGCGAATCGCGAGCGCGTATATAGGTCGACCTTGGCCGACCGATGTTTCTTTTCTCTTATATGCGTCGATTAGAGAGAGAGAGAGAGAGAGAAACGTAACAGTGGTCGTCGATAATCTGCTGCTCTCTGCGATTCTGAGTAGAAAAATCGATTGCAATCTCTTTTTTCCCCCCTCGCGCACCATTCGGTACATGCCGTGCACAATTGTAAAAAGTTAAATAACTCGCGTTACATAGTACCGTACTCTATGATCTATTACGATTAAAGAGAGAGGCGCGCGTATATACGCGTACGAGCGCATATATATGTATAAATATAATGCGAGATACGGGAATATCAATGGGAGACAGACGGGGAGAAAGAAAGAATGAGAGAAAAAAGAGAATGAATAGACGGACGGATGAATGAGAGGAAGAGCGATTGTGACCACGTGTGTGTATGCGCAACTCAAGTTCTGCGGTTTCGTCAGATTGCCACACACACAAATGCTGTTATATATAAATAATTATATATAAATTATATGTATATGTATATATATATATATATATACATATATATATATATATATACATATA